TCTCTCCCTCCCTCTCCCTGCCCCTCCCCACCTCTCTCTCAAAATTAATAAGTAAACTTAACAATGTAACATTGTATGTTAAATATACTTAAATAGATAGATAGATACTACACACACACACACACACACACACAGAGAGAGAGAGAGAGCCCTGATAATTTCTATGCATTGAACTTCTCCAAACCTTTATTCTATATTGTTTCATGCTTCTATTTTGTGCATGGATTTATTTTCATTTTCTCTATTGTACTGTAATATTCCTGTTTAGACTACAATATTCCTGGCCCTCTAATATTGTTTCTTTTGCTTCTTGCACAACACCTACCAAGCACAGTGTTGGATAAGACTTTGGAAATGTTACAAGATGGTAAAACAAAGTGGTAATATCACTTATGTTCTTTTTCTAGAAAAGCACACTGAAAATCAAAGAACCAAAGCAGTCCTGGGACTGCAAAATCACCACAGAGCTGCTCGATTTTTCTACCAAGGCTGACGTTTCCTTCTTCTGTAACCTTTCTAGCCAGTCTGCAAACCCCAGAAGAGAAGTTGTCTTAGTTTACAGTCAATCATCATGTTTGACATACTGTTATTATTTTTTACCTATATTTTTATATTACTCAACTTGATCTACTGGGTCAAAATTACTATTTGATGGCTTCAAAACTACTACTGGGGATTCCCTCCAAGCAAAAAGAACTGATGTAATGTAACAATGTAAAAACAATGCAGCAGCAGGTCCAAAGGCCACCCCCAAGCAAGGATACAAAAGATTTTGAGTTAGGTGACATTTTTAGTATACAGCTGCTAATGAAGATAACCTCTTTGAGGAAGATATTGGGAGACAACTCTCCATGAATATTTTTACCTCTCTGCATGGTTCAGGCTTTCTAAGCAAAAGTACTGCAAACTGGGTTAAAAGGATGGTTGAACGGCAAACATTCAGTTAGAGATAGTATATTGTTCCGGGGATTTTTTTTTAAAGTTTATTTATTTATTTTTAATATTTTATTTATTTTTGAGAGAGAGATAGAGACAGCATGAGCAGGGGAGGGTCAGAGAGAAAGGGAGACACAGATTCCGAAGCAGACTCCAGGCCCTGAGCTGCCAGCCCAGAGCCCGATGCAGGGCTTGAACCCAGAAACCGTGAGATCATGACCTGAGCTGAAGTCGGACGCTCAACCAACTGAGCCACCCAGGCACCCCTAAAGTTTATTTATTTATTTATTTTGAGAGAGAGAGAGAGAGAGAGAGAGAGAGAGAGAGACCTTGTGCATACAGGGGAGGGGCAAGAGAGAAGGGGAGAGAAAGAATCTCAAGTAGGTTCTGCACCGTCAGCACAGAGCTTGCTGCGGAGCTTGATCTCATGAACCATGAGATCATGACCTAAGTCAAAATTAAGAGTCAGACTCAACAGACTGAGCCACCCAGGCACCCCTTGTTCCAGGGATTTAGAGACTCATCTCGCCTGGAGCTAATTTGCTATTCTCTTAAACTCTAAGTGAAGAGAAGTAGAGAGTATCTTCTCTCCTCCTCAGGCAAGATCTCTCTCCCTCCTCCCTCTGTCTTTTCTCTCTCTCTTTCTCTCTCTAGTTTAGAAGGGCTGCAGGTGTGCTTCAACTCTGATAATTCTAGGGCTTATCTTCTGTAGGACTAAGGCTTCTGTACCCAATTACACCATGACGGGACCTTCCATCCTCTCTCTTGGGTGCATCAGTTTCCCCAGATTTTTATATGTTCACCAACCCAGAAGCTCATTGAACCCAATTTAGGGGGTGGGGTATGATGGTTTCATTTCATATGCGTGGTTGATCAGATCATTGACCACTGGTGATTGATTCAACCTCCAGCCATTCTCCCCTCCCCAGAGGTCTCGGGGGTGGGGGTGCTGAAAGTTCCAGCCTTCTGATTACTGGGGTGGTTCACCAGGCAACCAGCCTCCCATCCTAGGTACTCTCTGAAAGTTACCTCATTAACATAGCAAGAGACAGTGTTAAAGCTCTCATCCTTTAAGAAATTCGAAGGGTTTTGGGAGCTTTGTACCAAAGATGGGAATGGAGATCAATTATCATTCTTTTTTTTTTTTACCTATTTTTGAATATTTTCAATGTTTGCATTATTTATTTTTGAGAGAGAGATGAAGTGACAGCAGGGGAAGGGCAGAGAGAGAGAGGGAGACACAGAATCCAAAGCAGGCTCGAGACTGCGAGCTCTCAGCACAGAGCCTGACACGGGGCTTGAACTCACAAACGTAGGAGATCATGACCTGAGTAGAAGTCTGATGCTTAACTGACTGAGCCCCCCAGGTGCCCCAATGATCATTTCTTATTATAAATCACTATATCACAGGTACAAACTCTCCTTTTGTGCACAGATAGTATCAGGGCCTTGTCACATCATCCCATGGTTAATTGGGACGTTAGAAAGTAGTGCTAACATGCTCTATGAGTAATGATGTGGTCGCTAATACAGAGGTCTGGTGTTTCTCTTGGTGTGTATGTGTATGTACTGTTAGAGTGTACGTGTATTTATACACACATACACATACAAATGATACATATACTCACTCACACACGCACCCCTATATGGCATGTTAATTTGTTAGCTTGCAAGTAGGGTGACATTTCAGGTCTGTCACAGTTTGGGACTTAAAGAAGACACCAATCATTATAACATCATTGGGTATTAAATAAAATACATAAGCAAGAGCTTCATGTTTGTAATTAATTAGGAGCCTCGTGGAGGGATATCCAAGCCTCTGCCCTTGGCCTTGTATCCTTGCCTTTTAAGGACTTGCCTACCATGTGCAAGGTGGGATCACTGCCTTGGGGCTCCAGCGGTAAATGCAACAGATTGTCAGCCTCAAGGAGCTTACCATCTATAGGGGAAGGTAAGGTCCTCCAATCAGAAGACATGGGGTGATGGAATGAGTAAAAAAACAAGGCCTATCTATATGCTGCCTACAAGACACTCATTTCAGACATAAAGATGCAAACAGATTGAAAGTGAGGGGACAGAGAAGCATTTATCATGCAAATGGATGTCAACAGAAAGCCAGGGAAGCAATACTTATATTGGTCTTTAATCCAAATATCCTGAAAACAAAAGAGAAATCATTTCTGTGAAAGAAATGTATTTAAGTACCTGGAGGGATAAAAGGAAGAGGCAGTTGTTATTTTTAGCCACACACGTGGTGGGTAGGGAGAGTATGACTGCAAAGTTCTCATGAAGGGAAAATTTCACTATCAGAATCCATCATTTAGGCAAAGCCATAAAAGCCATACTTCCCAAATTTGTGATTAATACAAGGCACGGTGTGTTGGCCAGTAAACTGGTTAGCAAAACCAAGATTCTGAAACTGCTACAAGCCAGCATGACAAGAAAAGTTAACAAAATGAAACCGTATAGTTTTAAGTGTGGAGTGATCAGCAGGTTAACAGCGGTACTTATGGAGGAGAACAGAGAGTTGTAGCTGACTTCCTGAGCTCAACAGCCATAAACTTAAAACCCCCATATCCCTCATGAAGTTATTTTAAATGCTTTCAAGTAGCTGGTCAACCTTGAGGCTCACACTAATCTGCAAAGGGCTGCTTTGGGCAAGTTTCACTGTTCCCACATCCAGGGAAGGGAAGGGGGAATGTGTAGGTGGTCTCAGAGTGTAGGTGACTTGACCACAGTTGTGCAGCAATCGGGAAAGTGATTGAAGAATGGCATCACAATCAAGGAGTCTTGACCAGAATCAGGGTTCCGGGTACAGTTTCCTGCGCAACATTTTATGAAGGATGTTGACAGTAAGGTGCCGTCCCTCCAGGGGAGGCAGGCAGGATGATGATCAAGACACATAAGGAATATTTGGAGGACCTTGGGCAGGAACAGAGAAGACAGAAGAGCTACTATCTGCACATATCAGAGCAGCTGTCACGTGGGAAGAAATTAGACTTTCCGTGAACTGGCAGTTCTGGGAAGCGTCGTGACACAGAACCAACACCACTGGATGGAAGTTAAAGTGAGGAAGAGTTCGGATGACTGTTAAAAGGTGTGGTCTGTCATCTAAAGGTGGGAAAGATAGGCTCACAAGATTGTGAACCCACCACTGCAGTGCCAATTACAGCGCAGGCTGCAACCAGCCACAAATACCAGCTGTTGTAGGAGGAATTCCTGCCTAAAAAAATTAAAAAGTCAATGGCTTCCCAGATCTCTTCTGGCCCCAAGATTCTATTACTTAAATAAAAATCCACCGTCCCGGGAAATTCATGTCCTGTCAATAGATCTTCCAAATATGCTTCGACATTAAGGACCCTGCTGACATCCTGAGTTAGCACCATATTCATCTGGGTTATAAAAACATCATAAATAGTCATAAGGCCACTCACATTTCATGACTTTTGCTTTTTGCTAGGCTTCATGCCCCTCCATGAGTGAGAAAAAGGATTGTTGAATTATTATCGCAGAGAAGCTAAGGGATGAGTTGAAGGTAATAGGGCAAGTTTGTAGTGAAGTCAGAGCCAGAAATCAGGTCTTCCCTTAGATGGCACCGAGATCTCGGCAACAATATTAGCAACAGAATGATTAACGTGTATATGAACTTCACTCACTACGGGACACGCACTGCTTTAAGCACTTGCCATCTATTATCTCATTAGATTATTTGTCTATTATTTATTTGTTACATGCATCTATTCATTTATTATTTGCATCTATTATCACACAAACTCTATCAGGTGAGAACTATTACACACCCGTTTTATAGATTAAGGAACGAAGAGGCAGAGAGGTCTAGAAACTTGTGTGAGAAAACAGATGCTATGTGGTAGGGCTAGATGCCCAAGCATTGCAATGACCCCCAAACCTTACGGCTCTCAGTCGCAGGGCTGTGTTTTCCCTCTAGATCCATTTGATCTGGGGACAGTCCCCAGATTTGTACATCATGGCCTCTGTGGCCCATGTTGCCAAAGGCACCAAATAATCAAGTTTGGGAAGACTCTACCTTAGGAGTTATCTACCTGCCTTGCTCTGCTCCCCCCCAGCTACAGAGCATGACTGCAGAAACTTCTTCACATTGATGCGATGGCGGAAATTAACCGAGCAAAGCCACAGACTTGAGACTCCGATGTGCTGACACTCAGGCTGGACTGAAGTGTGGCCGAGATGCCACCCAACGCGATGCGGGAGGGCACGCGGCAGGAGAGTAGACCGCAGAATCCACATTTGACCCTTAACTGGAGTGCGAGAGAGACAAAGCCGAAATAATGGGTATCACAGATAACTGTTTATTCCTTTCCAGCACAACAAGCAAATAAACTGCCATTGGTGCCTCAAAACTTCATACAGGGTAATATTCCTTTAATGGAATGCTTTTAGAGAAGAGTCATAAAAATAAATTGAAAAGTGCTTTCTGCTGGCTACAGCTGGCATAAGCAGCATCTGAGCAAACAGGATAACACAAAGCTTAACTTAGCATCGCCATTTTTATTACTCACCCGCGACAGGTCTTATAATAGTATAAATTCACTTAAATCACGGACTCTTCCCCCCATCACCGTCCCTCCTTCCCTCCACCGCCACACACCCAATAGCCTTCTGCGTTAATTCTGAACAGCATAATTACAGGTCTTTTTATGATTTAGGTTTGAGACCAATTAGCTGATACTGCAAGCCTTTCAAATGCCAGCTTCCCTCTCCTGGCACTCCCCGTTCTGCTGGGATTTATCTGTATGCTTGTAAAAGGCAAATGTTTTGCGAGGAGTGGAGAAATCGGGTCTGCTGGTGGATGGGGTCCCCCGCCCCTCCCTTCTCCCTCTCTCATCTGCCTCTGCATCTTTGGTGCACCTGGTCCCTAAAATTGTCACGGAGCGAAGCACACACTGAATATTCATGCTGGTGCCCACGCTGCTTCGGATACCAGGTAATTGTGTCGGAGAGCTACTGGCTGCTTCCTCCGTGAAAGGCCGTTCCTGTAGTTGGAGCTGCGGACCCACGTGAGGCAGGTGCTGCCGCCATTTTGGAACACGTTAGCCACCGGCCGGAGGGCAAGGTTCAGAAGCTCAGAAGGGCACCGTCGGACAGCCCTGTCTCCTCCACTCCGTCTGCTCCCAATACCCGCCACCCTGCATTCATCACATAGCAAGGCTGCAACATGGGCCTTGACATTCGATATTCCACGAAGATCTCCAGAATCAGTCAATATGCATGAATCTTCCCTTCTGTACCACTGGGACACTCAGGAGTAAATAAAATAAGATTCCTTACCTCACTGTGTTTTCAACTGAATGTAAGAAAATACAACATATACATGTAAAAATATAACATAGCAAAAGCAGTAGGATGTAGTTAGTGCTGTGCAGAATATGCAACAGGCAGTAAGTTCAAAGAAAGCTGTTGTCACAGGGACCTGAGTCATCCGGCTCTCCATATTTCTACTCTGTAGCATGCACTTTAAAAATAATTGTGTTTAATCCTCACACAACTCCTCAAGATACATATAATGCATATATATATACAACCCTGTAAGACACAGATGGGATACACATAATTTTATATATATATTTGTATTTTAAAATATATTTTATATATATAAATATTAAGTATTTATATATATTAAAATAAAATATTTTATAAAATATATTATGTAAATTATGTAAATATATTATGTATAAAAATTTATATAATATATTTATGTAAATATATTATATATAAAATATTTATATAATATATATATACATACAATACCTGTAACATTTTCCTGAGGAAGAAATCAGGGAGCTCACAAAATCAGGTGACTTGTCTATGTCACAAGATCTCTGAACAAATAAGTGACAAAGATTAGAAATTTAATTTTTGTCCTGACACCAAAACCTTTACCACTATAGCACTGCAGATCAGCAGAAGTCAAATTCGAGGGCATTCTGCTGTTGGCCATGAGGGCAGTTATAGAGGAAAGTGTAAGGATATTTAAAAAAGGAAAAGTAGACTAGTTTGGAAAGAACAGAGGGATTAAGGAAGATCATAAAATACTAAAATATTAAGCCAGAAAGGGATATAAGAATGAATCTCAGATATATTATTAAATTAACAATTCAACAATATATTGGGATATTATACAGCCATTAAAATAACTGTGAAGGTTAGGTAGGATTGTGAAAAATGCTAATGCTGTAATATTGACTACAAAATAAAGAAATAAATAAGACAGCATAATTCAAAGTACTCGCTGGTTACAACTATGTGAATATGAGTATTGATGGTGTTTTCACATAAGATTTGTAGTTAAAATTGTTTAAAAGGAAAAAAAAAAACAACTAAGTCATCCCCTGGGCATAAGCATGACTCTATTTATACTGTTCCAGACAGATGGTTTTCTCTCATCTTGGAACAGATTTCCATGGAGGGAAAGCTAATGTCCTCCCTCTGTGATTTTAGAGCCTTACGACCCTATTTCCTTGGGTCTAGTCTCCATTTTCCTACAGAGGCAATTTCACCCCACAGTTGGTTTCTGTCTCTTTTGAGCAAACTGCTGGTTTGAAATTTTTTAACATGCTCTGAGTTCCAGAGATAGAGAAAGCAAGATTGTCATTCTCCCACCTTCTTCTTGCATTCTGCGTACCTGCTTTTGATACTTTTGGTATAACTGAGGGGGTGGAAGGAGGGGCAGTAATAACTGAGGGAAAAAACGAAGCATCGTAATTCACCAAACCTGTTATTTTCCTATCTCATGCTCCCCTTTCACGCTGCTCGCAATGATTCCACTTAATCTCCCAAGATCATTCATATCTAGTAATTTTTAAAAGCTCCCATACTCTAGCAGGGGTGGGGGAGTGTGCCTGGGTGGCTCAGTCCATTAAACATCTGACTCTTCGTCTTTGCTCAGGTCATGATCTCACAGTTCATGGGATCAAGCCTGGCATTGGGCTCCATGCTGACAGCCCAGAGCCTCGTTGGGATTTTCTCTCTCCTTCTCTCTCTGCTTCTTCCCTAGTCTCTCTCATTTTCTTTCTCTCTCTCTCTCTCTCTCTCTCTCTCAAAATAAATAAGTACACATTGAAAAAGATAGAAAGAAAGAAAAACCTCCCATACTCCAGACTCTCCATCTCTCCTCTGCTATTTGTCAGTGGTAAAGTCATGGACTTGGCCTCTCAGATGTCCTTACCATTCCCACATCACTTCTCCCACCTGGCCTCATCCCCGAATAACCTTTGATGACTTTAAATAAACCACATCCCATTTCCTTTTATGTATAGATATCAACAGGCCCTTTTAAGAGAGGATTTTGCTTGTCTTGTCTGCTCCTCCATTTCCAGAATAGTACTCAACACTGTCACACTTCATTACTGCATAGCAAGACAAAGAGCAGAAATGTCTGTGTCAAAGATGAAAAGAAGGCTTTGACTAAAAAAGGATACAAGACAGAGGACATGAATAGATCAGGAGAGAAAGAAAGAGAAAGGAATGAATGAATGAATGAATGAATGACAGAATCACCTAAGCAGAAACAGGGAAGCCATGAAGCAAAGTGAATAATCAAGCCCTGTTATTCTTAGAATCTGTGGCAGCCAACTAGAAAGGCAGAGCCAGAGGGAGATCTAAGCTCAGAACCAGTTGTAAAATTTTCAAAGAAGGGAAAATCAGAAGCTTGTGTAAGGAGTGGCTGAATTATTTGGGCGTTCTGCATTTTGTGGCTGCCCCTTTCGAAGGTCCCTGATCTTCTCCTTGTCTTATCAGGAGACACGCTAAACCTGCTATTTGACCTCCACGGAAGGAGGACCTCTGATTCTGTCAGCCCCAAACTACCTTTCCAGGACGCCTCTTCACTCCCTCTTCCCCTGCTCACGCCTTCTGCGGGATTACACGGTGCTGCTTCTCATTCTTCCATGCTTGATTGTTCTCTCTGCCTGGGCTGCAGTGCCCCACCTCCTCTATCTGACAGGCTCAGTCATCCACAGTCTTTGTCACACTGTCCCCAGCACTCCTCAGCAATTTGCAACTCCATCTTTGAGGCTCCCATGGCATTTTGGAGAAGCTTCTATCAGAGAGCATATCGGTAGGTTATCACTGAGTGTCTACGTGTCTGTCTGACTGATTGTACTTTTTTCTGTTCATCTGTAGGTCTCCATGCCTAGCGCACTGCTCAATGCTCAATGCAGGTGGCTGAGATGAATGAATCAAATATCATTTATTCTAGTTTCACTCATTTGCTTTATTCTCCTTTAAGATCTTGCAAATCAAGAGAGGCAATCACCTAAAACAAAGACTATGACACCTAATAGATGTATCTATCACAGTTAACAGCCAGCCAATGGCTTCAGACAGGAAAAATCATTAGTACGCCAAGATACTGGGTTTCTGTTTTGCCCTTTGTTCCCAGGCTACTCGCCTAGGTAAGGACTCTGTCTCTGGGAGCACGTGCAAATATATTTTCTGAGATGCATTCTATAGCATACAGTGCAAGATTGTAAAATTCAACACACACCTGGGAAATTCAGACACGGTCTCAATAATAAGAGCTGTAATCAAGGAAGAAACCCTTACTTAAGCAAATAATTTGCCTTGGGAGTAAAGGCTGAACACGATGTTCTTCACACACAGGGACTCTAGCTGACATTCTATCTTCATTTCAAATAGGTCTTGCTCAACAAATCACAAACATAAAATATTTACCCTATGCCACCCATCAGTACAAGTGGCTCTTCCAATCAGAGAAGCAAGCAGTAGGATGCGAGTTAGATGTGTAAGTTCAAAGAAGACATGAGAGGGATGGAGAAAAAGAGAGAGAGAGAGATAACAAGTTTAAAATTAAAGGGCAAAGGGCATCAAGGGCAAGGTAATTTGAGTCAACTTCTCCTCAAGTGAGGGTAACATAGAAGGTAGTAAAATCTGTCTTACTTCTGTGATTATGGGGAGGATTTGCAGACTTCAGATTTTGTGATATTAACAGATATGTTCCCCAAATTGGAATAGAGGGGGAAAGTTGATGCAGAACAAGACACTTGCTCTGGATAAACAATAAGTAGACAATGAGATATCATGGCAAGATGTATTGTCAGGTGCAGAATCAGATAAATTGCAAGTAGCAATGGGGAAAGAACTGAACCTTGAGGACTATCAGCAGATAAACCAGATGAAATGGAAGAAGACTTACTGGGTAGAGATGGTGGGGAAGCCCCAGCAGAAAGTTGGTATGGAAGCAATGAAGTGGCGATGGGGCCTGGATGCCCAGATAAAAGCTGCAGTCAGCTTCCTCCAAGTCAGAGAAAATAATAGCAAGAAATAATAGTGTAGAAATTTGGTGGTGTCAGCAGTGATAAGCAGATAATTTGTTTCTCTGTATGGCCCTAGGGCCCTTTCCAGAGGCAGGCAGAAGTCCAAGTTCCTGGACTTATCAGCCAGTGCAATCAAGAAGAGAAGAGGTAATGCAAAGAGCAGCAAGAATCTGTGTTTGCACTCAAAGGGACCTTTGGAATTATTTAGAGCAGCCTCTTTTTCCACCATAGAATATTTCTTTGGTTTTCTTCCCACATCACTGGCTATTCTCAATCCTTTTTCTGGTTTCTCTTTCTCTGTCTCTCTTCTGAATGTTGAGCCTGGGATCCTTTTTCTATCTACACTCATTCCCTAAGTTATCCCATCCAGTTCCCTGGAATTAGAGAGCCAAATGCTGATGACTTCCACATCTAGGTTCTCTAGCCTTGACCTTTTCCAACTGAGCACCTTGTTTGTTATCTCCACTTGAATGGCTTACAGGCATCTCCAAAATAGCATGTCCACAGCAGAGTTCTTCATTGTGGTTTTTCCACTCTGTTCGTCCCTGCTCTCTCCCATCTAAATAAATCGTACATTCATCTACTCGTTAGGCCAAGCCAAAACTCTAAGCACCATCTTGATTCCTCTCTCACTCTTTCTCCTACACACACACACACACACACACACACACACACACACCACATCTCATCTACTGGTGAGTCATGCTAATCTATTTGTTAGTGACAAATAGATGTCACTAT